TAGCGCAATTTCCATACTGACAATTGCGATTATTAATTCGTTATTTCTGGATGGATGGATGGATGGATGTGTGTCCGCAGCTTTAAGTCGTATCTCCTCCTCAACGAAGCAATATCGAGGACTAGTTTCAAAAGCAAATATGTTAAGCACGTTCCGAGGATGATTGTGGGCCAAAAAAATTCCCGAAATTCTTTCCTGGATTTCCCGGAAAAGCCAAAAAAACTCGAAAAAATGCAGTTTTTGGCCTATATCTCGGCAACCAGACCACTTAACGACTTGAAACATTTACCAATCGATTTCTGCCATAATTTAGAACAATATTGTTGAAGAAAGTTTTCAAAAATATGCTTTCGTTTGGTCACAAAAAATTAATTAAGGAAATTGCGCTTAAATTGTCACTAGACTTTTTATTAACTTGTTTTATCATCGGCTTGTGAGGACTGATACATAATATTTACAATAGTAATACTTCCATCTCTCATACAATTTTTTCATTGAAAATGGTTTACATATATTATACCAAACGACTAATTTCGAATAATTTTATACATGAAAATTAAAATATTTTTTTAATAAAGTTTTGTAATTTGAAGTACTGGTACTACAATAATGGAACATCGGCCATTACATTATTGACATTTTTAACTGTTAGCAGTTGAAGCAATTTCGTCAATTAGTAAGTGTCAACACAAACTGGGTACACAATTAAGCCCCAAGCAAAAGCCTGCCCCTCACCTAAGAATTCAAGTATTTTTTTTCTACCTCGGGCTAAGTAGGTTAAAAAAAAACATTCTCAAGCCCCTCCCCCCTCCCCCCCCCCCCCTCCCGCTGGGAATGTTGACATTAACATTCCACTCAAAAAATAATTTTATATTATTCTTGAAAAAAAAAATTAAAATATTTCTTATATTTAATATTTATTTTGAAAATATATTTTTCTTAGTAATAAAACAATGAAGTGGATTTACTCTTTATCGCGAGAAAATATGTGCAATGGGACTAAGTATTATTTAACGGAGTTTTATGTAAATACAGATTGCTTTTTGTTAATAAGATGACAATTTTCTTATAAAATTTAATACTACAAATACTAAAGGAAATATGTGCGAAAGTACTTCTAAAGAGGTTGGGTTATGATTTCGAAAAAACATGATCATATTTAATACGGCTATTTTCCTTTTTATGTTTGGAAAAATGCGATCTTAACAAAGTTTTGAAAGATTTAAAAAACATTATTTTTGCCTCAGAATGTTCGCTTTAGTATTACAGTTTTCATCAACTTTTTATGAGGACTGATACAGATTACCACAATAGTAATACTTCTTTCTGACATCTACTTTCATTCATTTAAGATGTATTACTTATACATAGATCTAATACAAAACGTTTAATTACAACTTTATTTTTGAACCTGAAAATGCAAATGTGTAATTAAATGGTAATTCAATGGTATTTTTTTCGGTGGTGTGGGCTTATAAGTAGAGATGAAATAAATTTGGGACCGAAGAAAAAATATTTTATAAATATAATAAGCAGCCTGAATAAAATGTGGAGAACATTGGGATAAATCAAATCAAACATGCTTCTCTTTCAAACATCTATATCTAAAGCAGTTCTTTTTGCTTTAATAAATTTATTTTAAACTTTTAAAATAATAATTATTTATTTTGTAGTTTTATACAGTTTTAAAGACTTCAAGATTTCGATTTGCACCCCCCCCCCCTCAAACTTTCAATCTGCACCCCCTCAACCTTTCAATTTATTTTTCCTACCCATTTTGGCGCCCCCTAAGGTCGACGCCCGGGGACATATGCCCCCCCCCTCGCTACGCTACTGATCATTCCTAATTTTTCCATGACCCAATATTGACCCCTGGCCAAGTGCGTACTCTGGTTTTGATCTGTCTGCCAGTCCACGGGTGGGGAGGGGTGGAGTGAAATGTTTCTTCCAGACTTTTTTTCTCCGGAGGGGGGGGGACACTTGAACTTTTCGGTGATGCGGACTTAAATTTCCGGTGGGGCTGACACTGTTAAAAGTATATATTTTCTATATAAATTCCATTTCGCATTTCGTTCGGGGGTGGGGGGCGGTAGACTTTCTTCGGGGGGGGGGGGGGGAGCACCCCCAAGGGGATGCCTGGAAGAAACTCTGGTGGAGTGGTGTGTGTTCTCTTTCTACCATTCTGTGTCTACAAGTCTGCGTCTTTGCATTTTTTGTTGTAAAGTGTTTATTTTTTTTTTATTTCGAAGAACCGTGTTTATTCAAGTAATGTAACAAAAGTGACTCTAGATACTTGAATTATATTATATTTTTTATTTATTTGTTTATTTATTTATTTGGTGTCATTTATTAATTTTTAATGGAGGGGGGGGGGTCATTTATTTATTTTTTTCATTGGGAGGTCATTTATTTATTTTTTAATGTGTAGGTCATTTATTAAAGACATCCACACGGTGTAGAGTTCCTACATCAGAGGGTTTACCAAAAGGGGTGATCATTAACTACGGTAACAGGACAAATGATCTCAGATAAGATATCCCACACAAGTGATCTCAGGAAAAATAATCTAAGGACAAACGAAAGAGTGATTATTCAAAATTAGATTCCAACTCCAGATATAGTGAGCATCAGTTACAGATTAGCAGCTTGTTATAAATAAAAATCAAAGTGAATAGTCCACAGTGTGTGATGTTTAGCTCTTTCAAAATGTTAGATTGATGTATTTTAAAACGTTACAACCGTTTATCAACCAAAACCAAATATTAAATTATTGTATTAAAATCAATTATTAGAAATATTTTCTTTTGTTCTACATTGTAATTTAACATTTTTGCTTTAATAGTATAAAAAATGTGAGTTGTTTCCCTTTAAGCAGTTTACATATGTTCTGGGGAGACAACCACTATTGTTAGTCTTAAACAAAATCAAATCACATAATAGTTCAAACCAATTACAAAAAAAGATATCTATACAACCAACCGCTACCCGTATGACCTAATATGTGGCTCATGATGACCTAACAATAGATCCTTGATGACCTCGCTAGCGAGCGATTATCAGCTAAGACAATGACCTAAGGATGACCTAACATGAGCCCTGTAAAACCTACCATTCCTGCCTTTATGACATATCCTTCTCTTTTAATTCCTACATCTTAAAGGCGTGCATTATGCTTAAAATGAACTCATCCATTTTAATTGTGTTTGGTTTGTATTTGTATCTGAGCATAGGATGGCATGCTAACGATCATTCTTTTCTCATAATAACGCGGATGTGCATATGACTGCACTGAACGGTAGAGTAAGCTACATCAATGTTGGACAAGAGCGAGAAAGGTCACAAAGGTATTCGAGAGGCCCATTAATTATTTTAAAAAACATGCGCGGCGTAGTTAAAATTATTATGGTTATTAAATCCTGTCTGTCTGGTTTTTTCGGACGTTACTAAAGATTTTATGTAATTGATGTTTTTAATATTTTCGGTAACTAATTAAACATTATAGCGTGCAGTGGTGACATAAACAATAGCATCCTGCTATTCGATAGCAAAATTGCAATTTCTATAAAGTTAATTAATTTTAGGTTAAAATAAAAGATATGTATATATATATATATATATATATATATATATATATATATATATATATATATATATATATATATATATGTATATATATATATATATATATATATATATATATATATATATATATATATATATATATACTCCGAAAATAAATATTGTGACACACCTACTGCCTCATCTACTCATATAACTATATTTACATTGAAATAATCAACTAGGAGATATGGAGAAGCAAATTATCTCCTTGAAAACCTCTATAATCAATAAGTGCTTTAATCCTATATATTGTGTCACCAGCTGCTCTTCTCAAATTACTCACACAGCAATGTAGCAACGACGGAGTGTAGGACAACTGCTCAAGTTTTTTTTTTTAATCATACAGCAGCCAGTAGGTGGGGTATGTTTTAGTTTATCTTTTTTCTTATTGCAAACAGGTCAGTGAAATATTTTTTCAATAAATCTAAATATTTAAGCATATTGCATATAGGTCAGGGAAATAATTTTATTCAATAAATCTAAATGTTTAACCATATTGGATACAGGTTAATGAAATATTTTAATTTAATTACTCTAAATATTTAAGCTTATTGTAACACACAGGTAACTTACTTTTATTCAATAAATCTAAATATTTATCTTACAGCAACAGCTTAGTAAAATACTTTAATTCAATAAATATTAATATTTAAGCTTATTACAATAAATAGGGGAAATACTTTTATTCAATGCACCTTAATCTAAAAGCTTTTCTATGCAAAAACTTCGTGAAATACTTTTATTCAAAGCTTATTGTAAATGATTAGTAAAATAAATATATTTAAAAAATCTAAATATTTAAGCTTATTGCAATAAATAGGTGGAATTCTTTTATTCAGTAAATTAAAATATTTAAGCTTATTTTAACAGATTAGTGAAATACCTTTATTCAATAAATCTTAATATTTAAAGATAATTTAACAGATTAGTGAAATACTTATATTCAATACATCTTAATATCCATCACTCCACACACAAACTTTTAAATACTTAAATTATAAGTTCACTAATAAACTGTTACGTTCCACACATCTACAAAACACACAACTATGTTTATACACTTAACTCAACATACATGTCAAATGACTCCGTGTAGACATTTTCTCCGTGGGAGAGGGCTTTTAAAATTGGCGGATATAGTAAAAGCAAAACACATATTTTCTGTATACATTATATATAATTTGTTTCGTCCCGGTTGGGGGGGGGGGGGAGGGTGTGCATGCTTCGGTATTGGGGATGGTAGTAGGGTGCAATGCCGACCTCCCAACCTGAGAGATCCAGCTTTCTTGTTACTTTCAACTTTTGATTATGTAAGAAATTATATCAACTGCTAGCCTAGTTCTAACACACATCTCCCAGAATTATAGCCGAGCGTAGCGATGAGTGCCTGTACACGTGTGTGCCTAAAGGCGCGGCCTAAAATCCTGGCATCGTATCCGTCAAGACCTGCTGCAACAACTGCTAGCCAACCACGTGACTATGAAGCAGGTGCCAAACCATTCAAAGACATACCTGGGCCAGGCGGAATTTACAGGTGGCCAGTGATTGGAACTTTGCTGCACTTCAAGCCATTTAGTGAGACTTCTTTATATATATATATATATATATATATATATATATATATATATATATATATATATATATATATATATATATATATATATATATATATATATATTTATTTATTTATTTATTTATTTATTTTTATTTATATTTAGATATATAATTTATGGTACGGCATTTGGCTTTTTAAACAGAAACTACCCACAACTCGTTCCATTCTACATAATCTTAACATAATCCTAAATAGCTGCATTAATCTTTCTCAACCCGTACAAGATTATTGTTTCTGTAGCTGAGTTCACACCTGAGACGTTGAATCGATTGTTTGAGTCTTTACACAACACGTACGGTCCAATCATCAAAGTACGATTACCCGGGCCTACAGTCATGACAAGCAACCCCAGGGACTTTGAGACGGTCTACAGAAACGAGGGGCGGTGTCCCAATAGACCCGTGTTTGATATTGAAGTCGTGTATGCTGAACGAAATAATGAAAAAGGGAGTATTAATATTGCGTAAGTATTTCTTGCATATTGGCACGCTAGTGTTAGCTGTTGTTACTTATACATAGAGAATAGTAAAGGACGAAACACAAGGCTTAAAAAAGTTAAGTTACCCTTAAGAACCAGGCGGCGCGGGCCAAAGAAAAATAGTTTGCCTGTTTCTGTAAGGGACGTCCAATGGATTCAAAACATACGGGCTTGATACTTTCTTGTAAGCGATGGTATGCTCTGCCATACGACCCTGTCGTATCCAATACTGGTTCGGTCACACTGATGTATGTGTTAAGGATTCTGAAGCTAGTTTCGAATATGATGAGGTTAGGACTGTTTAGTTATGTTCTTACAGTGATGTTTTGTGTGGGTCGCACACTAGGGCAGTGATATTAACACGGCTTGATTCGGTAGGACTCTGAGTCCACCCAGCACTAATGTGTACATGACCCACTATAGGGAAACAAAACGCGTCTGGTCATAGTTCTTACTATACTATCCCTTCATATACCGAGGTTACAAACACAGGTGAACTCTACTCCTTCTGCCACATAGACCATTTTCGAAGAGTGACTAACTGTATTTTCTGTTTATTCACATGTGAAAAAAAAAGCTGGAATGGGTTGAATAAACTAGCTGACTTAACCACTTGACATATTGTATATGTCATATACAAGTTTATAGACGTCTTCATTTAGAGGTTGCAAGAACGACATTTTCTAAAAAAAAATCATACGTTTTTTTTTCAGAAATTGTTTTAACGCCATTAACTTGAATTAGTTCCAAATTTTATCAAGGTTGTATTACAACTATTCCACGACGAATTACAATATATTTATAGAATGATATGTGGTTTTACACCATCCATTGGTGTTCCTGAAATCTTTTTAAACGTATGTCAAGTACGCCTATGTCTGTAGACCGTCCCTGAGTCCACCCAGCTCTAATTGGTACCTAAATCACATTATGGAGTGTAAAGGCGGCAAGGTATAATGCTGACCACTATATCTCTTCATATGCCGAGATCACAGAAACATATAAACTCTATTTCACTTTCCCCATAGACCGTCATGGAACTTTACGCCTATATTGGGTCATCACAACATAACGCCATCATTAATAAACGTTTAAAACTTTAACGCTTATTTCAGCCAAGGTGAAGAATGGCTGAAACTTCGAACACCAATCAACAAAAGACTATTGAAAGCTGACTCCGCCCATTTCTACTTAGAAGCTCAAAATAGCGTCGCGGATGATTTCGTCCGAATTTTGGCAAGAAACGACCTTGATGCTGAAAAAATGGCGGATTATTTTTTTCGCTACGCAGCTGAAAGTGAGCTTAGTTTCATTTCTCTTTTACATAAGTTTATTTGTCTAATTGATCATATCATTCTGTTGTGTTATATGGTGTAGGGTGTGTTAGATGGATGGCAAATTGTACACCAAAGCGCTTGCTGTTTCTTTATCAATGCTTTTAGAAAATATCACAAATGTTTTTATTATAGCCTACCGAACTGTGTGGGGGTGTGGTGATGGAAATGGTATTTTTGTTGTAAGTTGGAGCTTTACGGAAATATTTAACTTTATATTGGACAAGCTTGTGTAAAACAATAATTCGAAAATATTAATTTTGTAGTCGTAATGTTAAATTTAAAATTAATAAAAGCATTAGGTACATGATGGTGTGGTCAAATGTTAAAGGTTTTAATTGCTACCTCGAAGATCTGGAGTTCGGATATTATGACTGTAGGATGTCCACTCAGCTCTGAAGGGTACCTGACCTACGATTGGGAGAGTATATGCGGCTGGTCATAGCGCTGACAATAATACCGAATTGAAGAAACATATTAACTCTTCTTCAACCGCTCAATTGATCACTAGTCTTACCTTTTTTAAAACAATAAATTACATTATTTCAAATCAAGAAAATAAATTTAAAAATCTGAATGGTGCAGGCATTGGTATTGCGACTTTCAACACAAGACTTCAACTTTTGAACCACCGTGACGGGGGAGAAGCTGAAGAGTTCCTACATGCCAGCAAAGATCATCTGAGAATTCTTCAGGAAACTCTCACCGTGAACATGGGAGGGTACAAGTGGTTCAGGAACAGAATCTACAGAGATTTCGAGAAGGCTATGAACATTCTCAAAAAGTTAGTCAAATAACTGGTTAGTTAATTAATTCGTTGATTACTGTGGTTCAACTAAAATGGTGACATTGATTTCAACTCTTGTCTGAAACAATCACAATACTGCTGTATGATGGGGGAATATATATTGTATGTATCTTGGTAATTGGACTTGAGTGTGTAGGACATCATTGAGTCCACCCTGCTCTAACGGGTACCTGACTCACGTTAGGGAAACAAAGGTGGCTGGTATTAATGCTGATCACACTATATCACGCTTAGTTCATCGAAACAGATGCACTCTACTTCATCTGTCCCGTGTGACTCGGGTAAGAAAGGGAGTAGATAATGATGCCGTGCAAATCTTCGAAAACCAAGTCAGCTTGTAAGGTTTGGTTTTGTCCTTAACTCCTTATGCTCCACAAGGGTTAACATGACCGATGGTAATAAATGGCAAACTAACGAGCGGAACTGATTGTATTCAATATATTTTACGACTCCAGCAACGATACCGCATTAACAATAATCACAAAAACAATAAATATCAATCGTCTATGGCGAAGCAATGTTCATAGTTTGAGTATTGTAACCAACCAGCTCAAACCAACACCTATTACTTTACGTGGATTACCATTTATTTCAGAAAGTCCCAGCTCATACCAACACTTATTACTTAAAGTAGATTACCATTTATTTCAGACAGTTAAAGCTCATACCAACACCAATTACTTAAAGTAGATTACCATTTATTTCAGACAGCGAAAGCTCATACCAACACTTATTACTTAAAGTAGATTACCATTTATTTCAAACAGTTAAAGCTCATACCAACACCAATTACTTAAAGTAGATTGTAATTTTATTTCAGACAGTCAAAGCTCAAACCAACACCTATTACATCACGTGTATTTCCATTTCTTTCAGACATGCTAACAAACATACAGGTAGAGCCAAAGAATCCATCCAGACCCAACTAGCAGACGGAAGTTTAGACCCAGACCACCCAAACCTACTCTACTCCTTGTTGAGTGATCCGTCTCTAACAGATGAAGATATAACGTTGATAACCACTGTTCTATACAGTGCAGGTACTGAATCGGTAAGAACCGCCTTAGAATCAGAGTTTCTTCCAGGCATCTCTCCTGGGGGGGGGATGGAATTTATATATAAAATATATACTCTTACCAGTGTCGTCGTCCCCGAAAAATGTATGCCGCCCCTACCCCCCCCCCCCCTGTCCGGAAATATCAAGTGCACCCACCTGAAGAAAAAAGTCGGGAAGATACACTGCTTAGAATAAGTCTTGTGTATATTTTCGTTTCCATCTATATACTTTTATACTCGTTATAGGTGTTTAAATTTAAACTTACGTGTTTTAAATCATGAAAATAATATTCATAGAAGCTACATTTATTGTGATTATACACTACTTGCCTGACTGACTATTCTCGTTGTCTGGGTTTAATCAAAGACTGCGAGAAACCTGCAGGTCCTCTTCCACACCCTGGCCATGAACCCAGACATCCAGGAACGTCTCAGGGCGGAAGTGCTGCAGACATTGGGTAAAGACAGGCCATTGACAGTTAAAGATTTATCTACAATGTCATATTTAAAGGCTTGTGTCAAGGAATCTTTCAGGCAAGTTATCGTAACTTTTTTTCAAATTATAATATACTACGGTACCCAGTTTCCCTTTTGAAAACGGTATATCTCCTGAAATATATATCACGTTTCCATTCAGTCATAACACTTTCACAAATACCCCTTACCGTAGGCCGTAGGGGACTAAAACGCCTATTATTCCCACAACTAAAAACACACCCTACTCACAGCCAATATTCTTCGATGACCCTTTGCAAACATCTACCGCAGGTCAGCAAACAATATGAATACAATAGGGCACTTGAAGTGACATTAAATTACATAAGTGCGATGATAAAGGAAAACAATTCGAGTATTTTATTATTCAAGGGGGTTATTAGATTTAAAACTATTATTTTATAATAGGCGTAAAGAACTAAGAAAATTATGAAAATGAACTTAAAATTAATTTTTTTAAAAGAGTGTGAAAATGAATGGAATGTAATATTTTAAATTTAACAATATGACTGGATCAATATGCGGTACAAATTAAGCTAGTATTCTCATATTTATTCTAAATTTAGACTGAACTACCCAATACCAAGCGGCGTCATCAGATATCTACCTTCAGATGTTGTTCTAAGTGGCTACAAAGTTCCTTCAGGGGTAAGTTTGATTGAACTATCTTTATGTGACAACAGCTAGAGCAATTACTATGTGACGACAAAATAGAAAATCATTATCAGACAAAAGTTAGAACTGTGTTTATAAAATCAACTAGAACCATCTTTATGTGACAAAATCTAATATTTTATTATCTAATATGTTAATATGTGACAGACAGAGAATCGTTATGTCTTTATGTGACAACGGTCAAAACTATGTGTATAAATAGCAGCTGCAACCTTGTTTATGTAACATCAGCTGAAAGCGCATCGACAGTAAAACATAAGCTTTTAAATTACCAATACTCTAACTAATTATTATGAGCCCACTTATCAAATGCAAATACCAATCGCATGTGACATTATTCTGTCAAGATCCCCATCACAACCATGTTTGTGTAACATCAGGTAACAGCGAATCGACAGTAAAATATCAGTAATATATATATATATATATATATTTATATATATATATATATATATATATATATATATATATATATATATATATATGTAATTACCAATACTCTAAGTACCAGAGGTGTAGCCAGGATCGTCTCAAAGGGGGGGGGGGGTGGTTCCAATTTTTACCCGGGGACAAACTTTCGATTTGCACCCCCCCCCCCTAAAACTTTCGATTTGTACACCCCCCCCCCCCCTCAAACTTTCGATTTGCACCCCCCTCATGACCCCCCCTACCCCCCCCCCTACCTACGCCACTGCTAACTACCTATTATCAGCACATTTATAACCTACACTTACCAATCCCAGCTGGCATTACTCTATCAAGGTCCCCATCATCTTACAAAACCCCAGAGCCTGCATGGAGTACTTCGACAATCCGCGTCAGTTCCTGCCTGAAAGATGGCTGAGGACGGCAGACAGACGTAAACAGGAGAACATCGTCAACATGGCACTGCTGCCCTTTAGCCACGGTCCAAGGAACTGTCCAGGTCAACGGTTTGCTCTGCAGGAGATTTACCTGGCGGCTGTCAAGGTATTGCACATGTCTATCTGCCTGTCTGTCTGCCTGTCTGTGCGTGTGTGTGTGTGTGTGCGTGTGTGTGCCTGTGCCAGCCATCAGCTGTGATGTGTTCATTTTTTACTTTGTGTCTCTGTGTTTTACCGTGTCAGGAACGCTCTATTTATTTGTTAATCGAAGACACCCCCCGTACATGCCTGTGTCAATCGCAGCAGGTCAAGTCGCTATTTCGTCTTTCTTGGACTCTCCATAGGTGTCAATCGTAGTTACTTCGATCATTAACTGTTAATTAAGTTTGCTAACTGTCAATATTGGACGTTCAGGTTGCAAACTGTCAATATTGGACATTCACGTTGCTTTCTGTCAATATTGTACATTCTTGTTGCTATCAATTTCATACTTTCAGTTTGCAAATTATAAATATTGTCCATTCAGGTTGCTAACTGTCAATATTGAACATTCAGGTTACTATCAATATCAGACTTTCAGTTTGTAAACTGTCAATATTGGACATTCATTTTGCCAACTGTCAACTGTCAATCCTAGACACCCAAGTGCTGTCAAACACTGTGTATTTATGGTCTGTTGTAGGTCAGGTGGGTACAGTGGCGTAGCGAGGTCGGGTGTCACCCGGTGCGGCACTTAATGGTGTCACCCCCCCCCCCCCCCTGAGGCATAGAGACCCTTCCCAGGGACAAATTTTCAAATTTTCGATTTGCATCCCCCCCTCAAACTTTCGATTTGCACCCCCCTCCCCCCCTCAAGTTTTCGATTTGCACCCCCCCCTCAAACTTTCGATTTGCACCCCCCCTCGAGTTTTTCTCTATACATTTTGCTATTTTTTGCCTTGGTGTCACCCCCCTAAATGGTGTCACCCGGTGCGGTCCGCCCCCCCCCCCGCCCCCCCCCCCCCCTCGCTACGCCCCTGGGTGGGTAGAATATTGCTGCAAACATATTATGTCAGTTCTGTTGTTTTATGCAGACAGTTGTGCAGAAAAGTGCGCCAAGCTAACTTTGTTCCGTGGATGTGTCACCAGGTTTTACAAAAGTTGAAGATAGATCTGCAGCCCGAGTCACGTGACGTTGTTTTTGGACACAGAATTTTCATCCATCCCATGAAGCCAATCAAGTATAAGTTTACTGAGTTGTAATTTTGCCAAGCCATTTGTTGTTAAATGACTGCTTTAAAATCATTGGAGGAACTAGAAAATAAAGCCCCCCCCCCCCCCAAAAAAAATACAAAAAAAAACAACGATAGTAAAAATATTAAATACAAATTGTAGCTGCAGTGAGGTTAATTCAATGAGTCAATTAGTAATAAAACATATAGTGTTAGTTACCTCACAAGTTAAAGACAGTTACAAATAGGGCCTACTATGTACAAATATGTTGCTTTTGGTCGGATTCTGGACCCTCTAAACGCCCCCCCCCCCCAATACATTTCGGGGTCAGGCCGTATAGTAGTTCCACCCCTGTTTAGAGTAAGCGTGCAAGTGTGTAGACATTCTACAAAATTCTCCAATATATACTATTGTAAACGTTTACTGTGTTATAATCTAGCCTAAACACCTGTTGTTAGAAGTGCTGCAATTGTTTAAATGCTATGTAAGCTTTCAATTCTACCCCAGTCTACAACACAAAGACAGCTAAACCCGAGACTGTTCTAAGCCTTTGGTAAAACCGGTTTAATTAAATTTAAAAGATAGTAATATTTAGTAAAACCTGGTTAATTAAATAAAATAAATTAGAATTAAGCAAAAGCTGGCTAATTAGATGCAATAAATTAATATATAGTAAAACCTGGGTGATTAAATAAAACAAATTAATATTTAGTAAAACGGTGCTTGTTTTATATGTAAACACGTGCAGATACCCTCCGGTATTTGATTATCAACAACACACAATTTAAAGGAAGAGCAGTAAATGAGTCGGCCATTTAGTTAAAACAGATGTCATATTTAAACCATATACGAATAACTCTAAACATATGTTGCCCTTCTTGTGTAATGATATTGTAGAAGACAGATCTTCAATGGTTGAACCTAATACACTGGCAGGCTAATCGATAAAAATCCAATGCAATATAATATGTTGGTGCGATATGATACACTTGATTGAGTAGTTAAACTTGATATAATACCGATTATACATCTTTCATGTTATTAAGGGTACTAAAAATGTGGACTTAAAAGCATAAATCATTTAATTTTTTTTTAAATAAAGAAACTGGCTAGTAGGCCTACAAGTAGTAATGTGCACGCAGGTTATGGGAAATAATCCTAATACCATTACTGCATAAAATACGAAGAGAAAAAGAGCAAATGTGACTAATGTTGTATAAATTGAAGTTTAACAAGTGTCAAATATAAAGCAGTTATCTAGACAACAGTTTACTTTAACAAACTACACATGTATTAAATCCAATTGTTTTATATAATGTTTGTATTAAAAAGTATGTGCAACTCTTTTATTAAAGGTGAAATGTTTAGTATCAAAATAAAATAACAGTGTTGTTTTTATTACACATTCTTTCTGTTCTTAAAAATCATTTAAAAACAAACTATTTTTATTAAAGCAAAGCGTATATATTTAGGACAGCGCGGCCCAAGCTTTTTAGAAAGCAATCAGGAAATTAAAATAGTAACTTCAACTATTTATTTACAATTTAATTTTACAAAATAGCGTTCGCAACATGAGTGTTTTTAATATATTAATATGGTAATAACTAACCAAATTCGCAGAAATGGAGCAACATTAACATACATACGCCAAAGCACCCCATATTAAGACCTTCTAAGTATCGAGCCTCACATGAGTCTCATTCTAACATTGTAAAACTACAGCTTACACATACATCCGGTTGCCATCTTTTCTACAATAACACTGAGAACAATTAAAAACAACAATTAAAAACAACATACGCCATTAAAAATAACATCAGTTACTTATAAAACTTTCAAATTTAAATTTGTTACTTTAGAAGTAACACATGACAACAATTCTGTAAGTTAAACGATTTCTTCTACTTTTTAAAATAAAAAGCTAACACTGATTCTGTATAAAATAGCATTATCCATGTTTTACATTCCAACTCCTTTTCCTGTCCTCTACTTGACCTGCTTACACATAATGCCATGTCTACTGCCTGCAGTTAAGCACTTACTTTCCACTGGTGATACTTGCATACGTCAAATATTTTTCCATTCATGATCAAGTATCACAAGATGAATGGATTTTTTAATGATAGACCTTTCAATGTAAGGCAACTAACCAAGCGTAGAATTCCTACGCTTGGTTTCACAGGCCGAAAAACGTTTCTTTTTGTTCACCCTAGAGCTGTTTTTAACTCTACTTTAATTTCTAACGACAAGCGTGTGTTGTTGAAAATGAACAACAGTTCAATCTCTTTCTCTCTCTCTCTCTCTCTCTCTCTCTCTCTCTCTCTCTCTCTCTCTCTCTCTCTCTCTCTCTCTCTCTCTCTATCTCTCTCTCTTTATATATATATATATATATATATATATATATATATATATATATATATATATATATATATATATATATATATATATATATATATATATATATATATATATATTAAATGTGGGTGGGTGGGTGGGTGTGTATGTGTGTTTGTGTGTTTCAAACACTTGCAGTGCACTGATGATCATACTACAAACGACGCGAACAAATCTCTATTAAAGAACAAGTTTCAAGAGATGAATTATTGCCAGTGTTAGAAGCCCATAACAGCCTGTCAATAAATTAAAATATCTCGTACCCAACGAACCATCACCTAGAGACGGCAGCTAAAGTAAAAGGCAGGAAGTAAATTCATATAGCACGCAGTCACCAACAGCATCAGTTGATAATACTGCCGCTGTCAAATGTAGTCCGAGTTAAACGCGTCAATTGGCTAAAACGTCTAGAGGTAGCACGTTACGTAAAAAAAACGTTTTTATATTAGGTAAAATAATTATGCAGACTTCACTAATGTAAAGGAAGAATTGGTGCATAAGTGTAGGCCTACCCTAACCCATGTAGTTGTTTTAATACGTTTTACTTAGTCTCGGACGTTTTCAAATACCGTTAGCTAAGTCATATATAAACGTGTTTTGTATCCACGTTTTGGATTAAAATTATTCCCCGCCGAATGTTAATCTGTTTACTGTTCTCATGAAATGAAACATGATTTCCGTGATCTGTGCATTTGTTGTTATTGTATTTTCTACTCACTGTTTGGTAAGTAGGAATATTTTAAATGCTACAATGTCTCATATGAATAGTTTTAACAAATATGTTTACTTTCCTTTCTAAAATAAACCGGGTGTAGTCTCCCCTAAACTTTCTTGAATATTCTTATAAAACACTACAGGGGATGGCAACTCGGTAGACATGATTGTAATCCATTTCTAATTACTTAAACTTCTTAAAATAGAATAGAATCTCGTAGAAAAAAAAAGTTGCGCACCAATTCAATGGTAAAAAATATGTGTATAATAGTGCGGACTATTATTAGTACTTTAATAAATTCATATGCGTTTTTTGAGAAATCGGATTTAGCGTACTTACTACTTCCGATCAAAGTAATTTACTCAAAATTTGACAAAAGGCAAAGATTTAGATAGGCTTTTGAAACACCAAAAGTAGAAAAAGTTACACTTCCGGGATATTGCTAAAAAGTTGATACAGAACTACAATTTTGCATATAATACTTATGTATGAAAATTCATTATCCTAGTTGTAACGGTACTCAAGCAGTGTTTCTTCCAGACTTTTTTCTCCGGGGGGGGGGGGGGCACTTGAAATTTTCGGGGGGGGGGGGGGCGGTAGACTTTCTTCGGGGGGGCGGACACTGTTAAAAGTATATATTTTCTATATAAATTATATAAATTTCATTTCGTTCGGGGGGGGGGGGGGGGCGGTAAAAAATTTTCGGGGGGCCAAGCCCCCCCCCCCCCCCCCCCCCCCGAAGAGATGCCTGGAAGAAACTCTGTACTCAAGTTATCGGGTTTACTAACACACAGGGACAGAATTGCGAAGTCTAGTTTTTTCCGACTCGATTACGCGTAAAACGCCGAAATTTTTATAAATCTGGATTTAGAATTTTTGCCCGAGTCCCCTATACTCCGTATATGATAAAGTACTGAGAAGAAAAACGGTGAAAACTGTCAACATTTCATGTGGTTTTTGTGCACGATTACAATACTTCCTCTATACTCTGTATACGAGAAAGTAAAAAAGAAATATAGGCTACTAGCTAGATGTAGATCTAGATCTAAACTTAATCGCACTTCTATTGAACGCGTTGATTGTAAATTTCAAACCTAAAAGAGCTCTTGTTTTGTTGCTGTTGTAATGTTGTTGTTTTTTTCGATCATATTTTACAGACAGATCAGTTTTTAATAATTATTCTCGTATCTTCCAGCAGATTATTTGAAATTTGATTAACTGTTGTATCCATAGGAACTTGGATTTGGTAAACATTATTACGAGTTTTCTATTCCGTCCGCACTTTTTCTATGAATAAATCTTAGATCTAGTCTAAACATGTTTCAGCTTTTCAGCTGTTCGGCAACGATTTCTTGCCTGATTTGCCCTGTTGTAACTCACTTACGCTTGTCATTTTCGTGACTTTTTCTTGCGGGGCACGCGTCTACTAAACCATACACCTGGTAGAATGTTCGGCATGGAACTACGTGGTACTTATACTTAGACGCCGGCGTATAACCCTTGCCTTTCAGGGTACTCACAGACATTTCGCTCTGTAGAAATGATTATTATGAGATACTCTGAGTCCACTGGCAGACGGACCGTGGCTTAGCTAGGCAAATTATTCTAATTTTCTTGGCGTCTGGTATTAAGAATCTAGTGAACATTTATTTAGCCACTAAGGACTTGATACTTTTCTCTATATGGAAATTGGAACTTTGTTTTTCTAAGAGCTCGATTTGTTGGGGTTGTACTATGCTATAGGTTATGTGTATATCCGTACCTATTTTAGCATACCCATTTTCGACTAGTATAATTACTGTGCTGTTCTCCTCTGGTGAGTCGGAAACTTCCTTGTTCAACTTGTGGAAAGTTTTCCGAGAGCTCGGAACATTTTACTGTGGCGTGGTAATCGAATTCTCACAATTTGTGGAACATCGTGTTTACATCTGAAGAAAATGTGTCCCTTTTAATTTAAAAAAGGAATTTTCCCAGGTCCTTTTCAGGGCCTTCAATTACTTCACCTCGAAACGGTTTGGTTCACTTTGTTGTTGTTTTATTTTACATCTTATCCTAAAATCCTAAAATAGGGTACTAAAATAGATAAATTTAAAAAAAAATAAAATGTTTGTGTGCACGAGCACCATACTTCCTCTGTACTCTGTATACGAGAAAGTAATAAACCCCTAAATTATTTCGAATATTCTTTTATAAAACTAAGGAGTATGGCAACTCGGGAAATATAAATGATTTTTAAATCAATTTTTAATTACATAAACTTTTAAAAATAGAATAGAATCTCGTAGAAAAAAAAATAATTGCGCACGAAGAGAATGGCAAACAACATGTATATAATAGTGCGGACTCTTATCAGTACTTTATAAATTCACATGCGTTTTTCTTTGAGAAATCGGAAATAGCGTAAATTACTTCTTCCTACCAACAGAAATTTATCAAAGTTTGACAGAAGGCGGAGAATAGATCTTTTCCTTATATGTGAAACTTCATTTATCTATCTTAAACAGTACTTTTGAAAAACTAAATGAAGAATAAGTTTCAGTTAAGGTTATCGGAAATCGCTGAAAAGTTGATACAGAACTACAAATTTGATATAATTATTAGCTCAATTTAGTTTAATATGTTTAAGCAAATCATTAAAAGAGAATTCAATTAGTTTTGTTTTACAGTTCCCGGATTACCAGATTTTGAATTTGAATCAGAATCTTCAGTTGCCTTAGATATCAACATTACAATCATATGTCCCCGGGAACAAAAACGTAACAGAATATAAATTTTAAAACAGCTAACTCAACATTAACTCATATATATATATAAATATATATATATATATATATATAAATATATATATATATAAATATATATATATATATATATATATATATATATATATATATATATATATAAATATATATATATTATATATATATATATTTTTATATATATATATATATATATATATATATATATATATATATATATATATATATATTTATATATATATATATATATATATATATATATATATATATATATATATATATATATAAAGAGAGAGAGAAGGAGAGCCTAGAATTGTTTACGAATACAGTTTAACTGATAATCAGTTATCTAGTAATTTTTTATACCTACTGTATTGTCATCAATTTGTAGACGCACCATGTAGGCCCTTACTGCTTCTTTCTCTTTAAAAGTAATAAACTACAACGTTTGATTACAAAAAATGTTAAAGAATGCATTTATTTATATATTTTGATTTTATAACACTGGATTTGAACAGTTAATGAAATTTTAACATTTTTTTGTTTCGTCTTTTGTATTCTAAAAAGTGCGTGTTTTTTTGTTGAATATCTAAATTATCTATCCTTCCGTTTTCAACCTTGCTAACTTGTTTCTTTGTTCCATTTTATATCAACCTTTTATATGTACACCATCAACCAGTAACAGTAATTATACTGTTACAAAAATCACAATTCAGTTCAGGTTTTAATACTATTGACAAATTACGTACAGATTTATACACGTTTTAAAAAATAATTTTATAAGTAAAACCTTATTTAGTATAGGAATAATACAACCAATATTTTCATACTTAAATATTTTAACAGTAGTTTTGTGAGGAAGATCGGTATACAAAAAATAAAAATCACACGATTATACCTCACATAACCATGAAATTATTCGAGCTAACAAAAATACATACGCATTATGTTAAAGACAAAGTAATTATGATAGGTTGTCTGTTTAATCCGCAGTAAAAGAATCATGTGTGTTAAGAGATTAAATATTTTCAAAATTTATTGTGGGTTATTTATACGTATGTAGGCACTTATATATCGTATACAGTTGTTTTTATTCAATGTACTTTCGCTGAGTAACATTTTAGCTAATTAAACAATATTTGAAAATAAAAAGTAAAACAATTTGTTATTTATATCGCCACTTGGTCCCTAAAACATAAAAAAATGTGTCGAAAAAATTTTATACACGTATTTAAAATCAAAAGAAATTAATTCTCACACCAAATGTTTAGCGCTAAATATTAAAACATCTTTAATAAAAGCAACGAATAAAATCATAGCTGAAATATAGCTGTAGTCTTGATTAAATACTTTGTACTTTGAAGATAATTTGGCAAAAAATATCTAGGTTACAGAACAATATCTAAACCTAAACACAAATTTTAAATGTAAGGCTGTAAGCAACATGAAAAAAGCGAAAATCAAATCGAAAGTCCAAAAATAAGTCCAAAAATATGTTTTTCAACCAAGCGTAATTCTGACAGTGGCCATTAAGTTTCGATTTCAATATTATTTTATTGTACTTAGTCTTGTTAGAAAATATTCATAAGGCTATTTCATTGTGAAGTTTCATATTTTCCCAATTGATAGTTTGGTGCTAGGTCATAGACATAGACATTGTCCATGTTCACCGTTCTGTTAACCGCATCGGATTCACTGTTGTGTGAGGCGCGCCAATTAGTATCTGAAGTATTTGTAGAATATGAACAAATATAGTTTTACATTGACTAGAACTAGATCTATAATTGTTTGTGAAGTTCTAATCTGATGCATTATAGCTGGTGTCGATATAAATAAATAAATAAATAAATAAATTATATATATATATATATATATATATATATATACATATATATATATACATATATATATATATATATATATATACATATATATATATATATATATATATATATATATATATATATATATATATATATATGTATATATATATATATATGTATATATATATATATGTATATATATATATATATGTAACTAGGGTAGTTACCATACTATGGTTAACAACGTATTACAGTCTGATGCAATAGTGCAGATGTTGGGCTGATAACGATCACAAAGCCGCTGCGCAGTTCACAGGCTGACGTAACAGTGCAGATGGTTTATTAATCGGATTGTATGACAGAAGCTGCGCAATTAATATTCTGATGCAACGATTAGAATACGAGTACGAATACGAGTATGAATATGAGTACGAATACGATTACGAATACGAAGGGATATATAGGAAGGCGACAGCTGAGAACGAGGAGTAGGAGTAGGAGTGTGGCAGTATCAAGTTGGTTACTGAACGTTGTAGACGTATTGTGTTAATAGGGACGATAGACATGTGCATTCGGTTATGTGAAGACTAGTGAGGACGGTTGGGGGTCAGTTGATTCATTCTATTATTGTGAAGCATTTCTTTTGATTCATGTAATAAAAGGATCAATGGTAAACCTGCATCTTCGAGTATCTATATTGTGGTCGATGTTGTGTAGAATGAGTAAATACACTCGTTAACATTTGGCACTACAAGCAAATAGACTCGTTACATTTGGCGTTGTCGGCAGGATGATTCAACTAGACCAGCCGCTTTAGGCACCCATTATCAACCTAGATCCAGTTCATAACTGTGTTGCGTGTGTGTGAATTCGGACATTCAGGAACAGTGAAAATTGAGGAACGAGGAAAATTATTCATACATACACGGTAGGAAAGGTCTTTTTTTTTACTCAAGGAATAAAAATTAGAATATCTACTCTGGACGAGAAGCAGACCCATATTGTGGTCCTGCCCAGAGAGTCCCACATTAACAAATTTTACGGGGACGGTGATCCAACTTTAACCAACAGGTTCAGTGAAGAGGTCAAAGCGGCCTGGGCCTCGAGATACATGTCACCAGAGGAAAGATTAAGACTGCTGATGGGCAGTATAGGAGAGACGGTTAGGGCAGAGGTCAAATGCCACGATAAAACCGTCCAATCAGATCCAGATAAGGTGCTGGATCTAATTATGGAGACCTTTGGGGAGAGACGGTCGGGATCGCAACTGCTATCGGGGTTCGTAGGCTTAAAGCAGAGAATGGCGGAGAGTGTGATGGAGTATTCACACCGAATGAACAGGGCCTTTGATTCGGTAAAGGGCAAAACACCTGACATTGAGGTGCGCCTACTGAGGGACCATTTCATCGAGGGGCTAGCAACCCCGATCTTAAGGAGAGAGTTGAAAGAAGAGGTCTACAAAGACCCACAGTTGACCTTCCTTCAGGTCAGGAACTCAGCGATCCGTAGGTCCGAGGATGAGGACCAATCGAACTGTTCGGTAGACAAAGTCTCTGTGCCGGAACAGAAACAATCCCCACCCACAGGGACCGGCACGATGGAAACCATGATGGCTCAACTGTTGGCCCACCTGGATAAGGTTGACCAACGATTGGAGAGGTTAGAAAGCAGGTCAACAGCTGAGAATCAGGGCAAAAACGGGACAAAACAGAGACAGGTTGGACAGCCGCGACCTGCCGGTCCATCGCTCCGGTGGATGGCTGACGGTCGACCAATTTGCTTGTCCTACTCACAACCCGGACATATGGCACGGTACTGTCCGGTGAAACGATCGCACTCTGTAAGGCAGGTCAAGGCTACAGAGCGGCGAGGTTATGGCGTAAGAAACAAAATGGGACAAACAATGAAAGAGTCTCAAACAAGACTCGAAGAGAAATTATCAGATATTGAAAAAATGAACTGTGAAATGAACTTGAATGTTGAAAAGTTTCAAGTGAACAATTTGTTGGCTAAGAAAAATGATGATAAGGAAGAAATTGGTAGACTTAAGAATGAGATCTCAAGGTTAACCATGAAACTGGATAGGGAAAGTTCATGCAAATTAAAAGCACATGAGAAATGTTCATCTTTAGAGTGTCTGTTATCTGAAGAAGAAAATAGAAAATTTGTACCTGGTTTTGCAAAAATTGCCGCACCGTTGACTGACTTGGTAAACAAAATGACAAAGAAACACAGTAAGGAGAAAAAGAAAGGCAAAACACAACTGATAGGTGAATTATGGACTGAGGAATGCCTGAACTCGTTTAAGCTACTGAAAAATGCTTTGACCGAGGCGCCGATATTAGGATACGCAGACTTTGACAAACCATTTCGGCTAGAAATTGACGCCAGCTCTAAAGGTCTGGGAGCTGTACTATCACAACAACAAGAGCAAGGTTTCAGGGTTATTGCGTATGCCAGTCGAGCTCTGAAGGAATCAGAGAAGAACATGACAAATTACAGCGCCATGAAACTAGAACTTTTGACATTAAAATGGGCTGTGACTGAAAAATTCAGGGACTATCTATTAGGTGCTAAATGTGTGGTATACACTGACAATAACCCCTTGAGTCACCTAAAGACAGCAAAGTTGGGATCCATCGAACAGCGATGGGCAGCAGAATTGGCACTCTTTGACCTAGAGATAAAATATCGCCCGGGGCGGTCCAATGGCAATGCGGACGCTTTATCAAGGAATCCTTACGAGAGACCGGGCGATGAGGAAGAAACGCTGACAGGAATATGTGAGGTCAGAGCGTCAACAGATATCCCTCACGGGGTGCAAGTGATGCAAAACGGGCAGACTGTGGTGGAGCACATATCCACAGAGCCCCGTCATATGGACATCAGTGATTTTAATTGCCTTAATCACAAAGAGATAAGAGATGCCCAGAGAACGGATAGCGGGTTACAGCCGCTATTGAAATACGTCCAGGAACAAAAATTCCCAGGAAAAAGGGAAAGAGAACAGTTTGGTCGGGAAACAAAGAAACTACTGAGTCAGTGGGACCGTCTCAGTATAAAGGATGGTGTTCTCATGCGGAGAATTCATGACCAAATAGATGGGACAATACACCAGGTGGTGGTGCCTGGACAGTTACGAGAAGAAGTGCTAAAGTTGGCACATGACAGGGCGGGACACCAGGGTCAGGACAGGACGCACAAAATATTACGACGGAGGTGCTACTGGCCCAATATGGAGATGGAGGTCAAACGCCATTGTGAGGCTTGTGTGAGGTGTCAGCATGCGAAAATGCCAGTCGTTAAAATGAGACAGCCATCAGGACGCTTACTGGCGACAAAACCACTAGAGATTGTGGCTATGGACTTTACGTCGTTGGAGCAATCATCGGATGGGACGGAACATGTGTTGGTAATGACTGATGTATTCACCAAATGGACTGTTGCGGTGCCCACACGAGATCAGACGGCCAAAACAGTGGCAAAGGTCTTAATAGAACATTGGTTCATCAAATATGGCATACCAAGACAATTACACTCTGACCAAGGAAGGGCCTTCGAGTCAGAAGTAATTAACCGACTGTGCAGCCACTACGGGATCAACAAATCTAGAACAACCACTTTTAATCCGAAAGGAAACGGACAGTGCGAGCGGTTCAACCGCAGCATGCATGATTTGCTGCGTACTCTAGAACCTGAACAGAAAAAACGTTGGCCTGATTTTCTCCCAGAGTTGGTATATCTATACAACTGCACCCCCCATGCCACAACCGGCTTTTCGCCACACATGTTACTGTTCGGACGGGAGGCTCGACTCCCTCTTGACTTGTTCCTAGGAAAAAAGGAGAGTATGACTGGCTCATACACCGCACTAGAATATGTGAATGAACATATGAGACGAATTAGAGAAATGTACAGGGTGGTACAGGAAAGACTAGAACATGAAGCACGGCGAAGGGAACCGCCGGTACAGACAAAGGACCCGCCACTCAAACTGAACGACAGGGTATTACTGCGTAGCCACCCGTTAGGCAGAAACAAAATCCACGACCTCTGGGGACAGGAGATATGGCAAGTCGTGGAGATGCCTAAAATAGCCGGTGGCCCCTTTAAAATAAGACCCATCAATCACACCAAACAGGATCGGTGGGCGAATATTGCTCAATTAAAGAAATATTGTCATAGTCAAGAAGAGCAGTTACACACAAAGAAACCTAAGACAATTAGGGAACCGGAAATTACAACGGAAATTCACATACCCATCCCGGAACCATGTCACCATCAACAGCACAACAGCGATACACAAGGGGAGGATAACGGCAACAATGAGGATCCCGGTCCTCCCAGAAGCAGAGACACAGTAGAACAGCAGACAAGTGGTCCGCGGAGAAGTTTGAGAAACAGAAAGAATACGAAATTTTTCGTCAGCAACCATCAATTCTTTCATGGTCGCGCTGGTATAAGAACAGACTGTTCAAAAAGTTATAAAAGTGAACTGGTGAAGGCACCAAACGAAAAAAGGTGGATGTGAATTCTAGAACTGCTTTGTGTCTGAGGAATAGGATGAAGACACATTTGACATGTGAAATAGTGATAACTGTCAATCTTTTACGAATGTGACGACATTGACAGTGAGTGGAACAATAATTTTTTTTTACGGCGGTGCTTTTGACATTGAAGGAGTGCACCTGCCAAGCGTTGTTTGTGGTTGAAAACACAAAAAAAAAAGGCGGGGGTGGATGTAACTAGGGTAGTTACCATACTATGGTTAACAACGTATTACAGTCTGATGCAATAGTGCAGATGTTGGGCTGATAACGATCACAAAGCCGCTGCGCAGTTCACAGGCTGACGTAACAGTGCAGATGGTTTATTAATCGGATTGTATGACAGAAGCTGCGCAATTAATATTCTGATGCAACGATTAGAATACGAGTACGAATACGAGTATGAATATGAGTACGAATACGATTACGAATACGAAGGGATATATAGGAAGGCGACAGCTGAGAACGAGGAGTAGGAGTAGGAGTGTGGCAGTATCAAGTTGGTTACTGAACGTTGTAGACGTATTGTGTTAATAGGGACGATAGACATGTGCATTCGGTTATGTGAAGACTAGTGAGGACGGTTGGGGTCAGTTGATTCATTCTATTATTGTGAAGCATTTCTTTTGATTCATGTAATAAAAGGATCAATGGTAAACCTGCATCTTCGAGTATCTATATTGTGGTCGATGTTGTGTAGAATGAGTAAATACACTCGTTAACATTTGGCACTACAAGCAAATAGACTCGTTACATATATATATATATATATATATATATATATATATATATATATATATATATATATATATATATATATATATATATGTATATATATATGTATATATATGTATATATATATATATATATATATATATATATATATATATATATATATATATATATATATACATACATATTATTATTACTGAATTCATTATTTATGGTTTATTTTCAGGTCAAAAGTTAACGTTTATCTTTACCTTGTAAATTGCTTCATAATCTTTTTTTCTTCTTTTTCACCTTTTAAAATGTAGTATACTTACCATTGACCTCACTATACTGATGATCCTCTTTATATGTTTTGTTAACAATATTGTACTGGTTTATTTTTCTTTTGTTTTTATTTCGGTTCAGCTTTCGTTGTTTATAAATAATAATAATTCCAGTAATTATGATAATTAGAAACAGCAGACCGAGGCCTATGCCAATACCCAGTCCTACGCTTTCAACATCGTTATCTGTATAAAATTAATAAAATACAATTATTTGATAAAACAATCTGCATAAACTTATATACGCTCATTACTTATGCTGACAAAACAAGAACTTAGATTGTACAGTATTTTTTATTTTTTACCATCAACATTATAATACACTATTTATTTCAGACGTGGTGTTTTATTGTTTTGTCATAAAATATATTATCAACTTACTATTGCCTAACGTTACCAAAGATTCAGAGGAAACTTCATTGCAGCCAGCATTGTTGCAAACTCAAACAAAGACCCTGTTTTATTGTATGAATAACAAAACTTGATATAAATTACATATATAAATATATGTATATATATATATATATATATATATATATATATATATATATATATATATATATATATATATATATATATATATATATTCACTTGTTTCTGTGACCTCGGCATATGAAGAGATAGTGTGGTCAGCACTATGCCCAGCCGCATAAACTCTACTTCGTTTGCCCCATAAACCGTCAGGTTTGAAAATGAAACTTTATATATATATATATATATATATATATATATATATATATATATATATATATATATATTATTAAATTGACCATACTCGACAGTCTTCTGGAAAGTAACATTTCTGCAAGTACAGTTTACATTAAGTTAACCTAATGTTAATAACTAATAAATCACAAAATAAAATATCAACGACACAAACGTTATATATTTGTGTTTTATTAAAATAGCATCGTGTGTCCATCACTGTCAACTAAAACAATGTATCTTTGTTAGAAGACAAAGTAAAAAAACAACCTTATCTTCGTGTTAGGTGGCAATGGTCCATTACAGACGTCATTATCCTCAAGACTGCAGCTTGTGTTACTCCCAACGGTATACGGGGCGTAGCCTTCTTGTGCATCTGAAGTAGAATCAGTTAGCAGGGTAAACACAGCAATGCTATTTTTAAACACACAATCCATCATCTGGATTACCTTTTAGCTGTTCCAGCCACTGTAACGGTGTTGCACGATAGCCTATACTGAATCCGTACTTCTTTGATTTCGACCACGTTTCGTACTTCCATTCCAAATTTGCTGATCTTTTCTTTTTCTCTGTGTAGTAAAAATTTATTTTACTCTAATTCTATCAAACATTCTTGAAAGCACACTTTACAACAGAATTATCAATTACAATATATATATATATATATATATATATATATATATATATATATGTGTTACGGTCAAAACCCGAAGTGCGGCCAAAGCGCGGATTGGCCGGCCAATGCGCGGATTGGCCGGCCAATGCGCGGATTGGCCGGCTCTCTTGGCCAAAGCCCGAAAAACTTAGCACTAAGATCGTATTTCGTACATTTGCCGGCCAATACGCGCACTGGCCGGGACGTACTGGCCAAAGTCCGAAGCGCTTAAACCTGACAGCGTATTTTGTACATTGGCCGGCCAATGCGCGCACTGGCCGGGATGTCCTGGCCAGTGTTTTATCTAGACAAAGTTGTGATCGCGTTTTCATTATTCTGGGTGCGGTTTCATTGTGAGTAACGTATTGTTTAGCTCTTGTTTGTATAGCATTCTATATGTAAGGCGTTATGGATCAAATGGGCCGTCAGACCATGAGACAGACAGCAGATGGCTGTCAAAAGAAAAAATGTAAATCCATGTTAGTTTCTATATATGGGCTACAACTGTATGTGACAGCCTCCTCCGTGATGACGAGGTGAGACAATCATCAAGAAAGGTCTTGTTTCCAAACCCTTGATATTTAAAGAATTTAACTCAATATGCCAAGTAGATCTTATTGATATGCAAAGTAACCCAGACGGCAAATACAAGTTTACGAGCCGGCCGCTATTTAGTTGTTGTTTTTTCTACTTATCAGCAATTCATAATTTGTGAATTCGACAGTACCAACGCTGACACTGAAAATATTTCTTTAAAACACTATAAGTAGCTCGTTAAGGACCATAACCCCCCCCCCTTCCTCCCCCCCCCCCCCCCCAACCAGTGTTTCTTCCAGACTTTTTTCTCCGGGGGGGGGGGCACTTGAAATTTTCGGGGGGGGGGGGGCGGTAGACTTTCTTCGGGGGGGGGGGGGGCGGACACTGTTAAAGTATATATTTTCTATATAAATTATATAAATTATATAGATGCCTGGAAGAAACTCTGCCCCCAACGTTTAAAATCGTTTCAAACTAAATTATCTGCCCCTAATAGCCGTCACTAAACCCGACTCCACGAAGGTAAACATAGCGTGAACCACAGCTCACTATGACCAAGACCATGTAGGGGTGGGGATGGTAGGGAGCGCGTTTACAGCTTGTTTTCTAGCGTCTCCCGGAAGAGAATTATATATATAGATACTCAGTTACCAGGATCATTTAACCAAGTTCATATTGTTGCGAGCTTTGGAAACCAAAAGAGCAGAAGAAGTTGCTTACCAGCTGCTGGATATCTTCACGACTATTGGTGCCCCAAGTGTGCTTCAATCAGATAATGGAAGAGAATTTGTGAATGCAGTTATTTCTGAACTAAAGAACATGTGGCCTGAACTTAAACTTGTTCACGGAAAACCAAGGCATAGCCAAAGCCAAGGTTCAGTCGAACGTGCCGACCAAGATGTTCAAAACATGATGATGACATGGATGCAAACAAATGAATCAGCTCATTGGGCTGAGAGTCTCAAATTTATTCAATTTATGAAAAATCGTTCTTTTCATCAAGGAATCCAACAATCGCCATACGAAGCCTTGTTTGGATGCAAACAAAAGTGGGACTTAGCACTTCAAATCTCGATAAAATAGTTACTGATGAAGATTTTGAGAACATTGAATAAGAAATGGAGGTTGCCATAAATGCAACGACATCCTCAGCTAACACATCTGCTGCCGTGGCGGAACGTCCAGACCAGTTGCGTGACAATAATGTGGCCAACAGATTCTGTATAGTTTGTGAAAAACATTGTAGTGCAGCTCATTCTTGTGGTCTTGTGGCGAAGGATACGGAGGGAAAATTACCTGCAAATTGTGTCACAACAAAAAAGACATCACGGACAACAGGTCAGCAGCTCATACTGGCTTGCAAACTCAATGTGCTAAGATGCTTAAAACATCAAATACAAAATTTAAAGATGGTGAAGTGGGTGACAATGTAGGCATCCGTGTTCCAGATGTTGACAGAGGTCGCGGTGATCCCCGAAGCATGATTGCATTTGTCATGAGCGTCGATGGCGGTTTCTACAAATTAGGAACGGAATATGGTGTTCTAAAACAACTGTATGCTAGAAGTGAGTTTTCAATTATTCACGAAAAACTGCTCTTATTGTCGTCAGTTGGCACTGAGGAAAAATCACTACGAACCATCGCATCTTCACAATCATTGACTGGGGGCCAAGGCTACACTCGCTGCAATTGCACAACTTAGTGCACAACAAATCGCTGCAAGTGTAAAAATAGCAAGCTGCTATGTAATTCAAAATGCCATAAAAGTTTAACTTGTTGTAACAAATGATAATATTGATTGATTGAGACTATAGTACAATACAAAATGTGAATGTTTCTGTCATTTACTTTAATTAATGATCAAGATAGACTTAATTTCATGATCCTTACGGCATAAAAAAAAAACCAAAATCTGCTCATGATCTTCTAATTCGGACTTTGGCCGGTCGTCCCTAGCCAGATGATCTTCTAATTAAGACTTTGGCCGGTCCACCATGGCCAGTCCGCGGACTGGCCGGCCAAAGGCCGAAATCAAGCAAAGTTTCGGACTTTGGCCGACCTATGAGAGGCGATATTGGCCAATGCGTGCATTGGCCGGCCAATCCGCGCATTGGCCGACTTCGGGCTTTGACCGTAACATATATATATATATATATATATATATATATATATATATATATATATATATATATATATATATATATATATATATATATATATATCCTATATATTTATTTATTTATTTATTTATTTATTTATTTATTTATTTATTTATTTATTTATTTATTCGGAACTTTTAAATAAATACATATAAGTACCAGTAATGTAACAGTATGAGTTTCCTCCACATACAATAAGCAATAGATCTTGTATTCTGCCCTGACTCTCATCTGTTACACACTTTGTGCAAGTATAAACTTCTACTGTAGTTGCACTCGGATTTGATATTTGTATTATTTTTCGCCCTTCATCAGGCTCCTTGAAGATGGGAGCTGTAAAATAAGTAAGATGTTAAATTATTATGATGTTAAAAAAATGCAAGTTTTAAAATTTAACAAAAAAAACATCTCTTAAACGTTACCTTTAGCCCTTACAAATAGCGGTTTTTCAACAGTCAAATCGCTTTCAAACTCTCTGTTTATAGTTTTGACCTGTAAATATGCTACTAATAATTTAAACAACTTCAGAGACATTGATTGAAATTCAATTATTTTTAATTTAAAAAATAGTTTTCTTGACAAAATTAGCTTAAAACGAAGAATTATGAATTATACACAAATTATTTAAAAATATAATATTAAATAAACGTTAGTTAAATAATATTAACATACATATTTATTTTTACTTAAGACCAAAATAAATCCAAAATTGATTGTTTAAGTGTAATTGAAACAATCATCATCGAAAAATAATTATATTAAAATAACTCATGAAAGAATAAACAAACCTACTTCAATGGAATAGTTTCTTTTCACCAACAAGCCACTTAAAAGAACAGAAAACAAGTCTTCACACATGTTCAAGCTATAATGTTCTTGTATTCCAACTTTTTCTGTCTGTTGGTTTCGTAAAATAAACTATTAGTAATGTTTAACAATATTTAGGCCTATATATGTTTATGTATGCCTAAACATTTGCATATTTAACAATAGAAAAAAGGCTCAGTATTTTTAATACCATTCATAAAATACAACTATGGAAACATATAGCACAAGAGCCTGACAAATGTTTTTTTAAAATATAAAGCAGTTTACTCGCTAGTGTTTTAACATTTCTGACACAAAGAAAACTTCCTGTTATTTACGAGTGACTTTTCTTTTTGTACTATGTGTTGTGTGCAAATGATTTTTTTATATTGTGAAATAAAAATTTACCAAAAAGCATAGTTTTTTATTTGATAAATTAAAGAAAACGAAAAAATATTTTCGAGACTTACCTCGTTCGAGCTACTACTTGTGAGCCTTTTGTAAATTTTGTATCCAGTGATGACACCATTTCTCTCATGCTCAGTTGGACATGCTATGGTGATATTGATATCAGAGGCTATCGGAGAATTGTCCTCCATTGTAAAAGAACACAAACCAGGAGCTATTCATAATTAAACCAAAAAATTCTTTGTTATTTGTCTTATAGGTAACACCATAAAAGGTTTAATTAAACACTAGGAGGATATTTTACATAAAAGTATTTTAATTTTTAGTTACCCATTCCAACATTTTACGCTGAATGTAGAGCAACTAACATTTTAGTAAATGTATTAGATTTTAGTTGTTTTTCAGTCAACAGATGTTCACTTTGATAAAAATAAAACGCGTTTGATTGTATACACATGTTATAAGAGAGTAACTTTTAATGTCAATTTTAAGAAAAAAGCTTAAACTATTTAAAAACTATTTACTTTTTCCATTTATACGTGAGAAGTTTTAGCTTACACCTTGCAAAATGCTACTCTTAGCAAAAAGAACATCTATACATAGATCACCAAGAAATAGCTCTTCAAGTGAACAATAATGAATCAGTTTTAAACTTCTGAGAGGCATTTTACAAGAATACCTTTATAGTAATTAATCATTTAAATTTTCATTCATATTCATAGAGTAAAGATAGTTTTAAAATATATTACCTAGCATGAAAGTTTGCTGCACAGTACTGAGAATTTCACCAAAGCCTTCTACAGTATACGCAGAAACATTTATCCTATACTCCCAAAACGCCAGAAGATCGGAGAATGTGTGGTTATTTGTTTCATAATCTGAAAACATACACGTTTACGGGTGTGTTTTCAATTGTTGTAATGAATTAAAATTGTTTTTAAGATAGTTTTTATCCCAATTTGTATCTAATATATCAAAATGTGTATTATAACTTACAATTTTAATAGCTTCAAAAACTGTACCTGGTGTTATGTTAATAATTAGTAAATCATCTTACTTGAGATGTCTGCAAATTTTACGTTCAGAAATTCTTCACTGTTTAAACTTTTCCGTCTCTCCAAATGCACAGTGTAATTTGTTGGTCCTGTAAAATCCCCCGGAGTCCAGGCAATAAACAAACCTACTCTGTTGTCTGAAGATCTTGCAGGAGTGACTGACAGAGATCTTAGTTTGTTGGCAGCTGGGGACATGCAGTGATGGCTGGTTATTTTGTTAATTTAACTAAAGAATAAAATTAGATAAATTAATTATAACTCGTACTTATTTACTAGTTATTTACTGATTATAACTAGTATTAGATAGTTTGCAATTAGTGTAAAAAATAAGAACGTTGTGATATAGCAGAAAAATAAACCTACGCATAATTTTTGTTTTAAAGTCCAAACTAGAATCGACACCTTTTCCTGCAACATTGTAACGGGAAATAATAACGAAATAGCAAGAATACGGATTCAACCCGTACAGTGACACTGTAATTATAAAACTGGAATTATTCAGTTCTGCATTAACATATGATTGATTGGGGCCCCCTCCACTCAGATTTGCTTTTGTTTCGTTTATGAATTTCTGCAATAAATAAAGAACATTAGTAAATGTCTAAATTTGTAAAAAAAAACTTGTTTGTCAGAAGTTAAGGAGATTTATTTATAGTACTACGTACAGTGGGGTTACAGTCCGCACAATAAATGGTGAATACTTCCACAGTGTTGCTGAATCCATCTTTTACTGTAGCCACATAGCCTGTAATTTCACCATTTGGGTGAGATGGTTTCTGCCATTGGATAATAGCGGAGTCTCCTGTTATTGCATCTGCCTTTAGTTGTGTAACTTCATCGGAAACTAAATATGCAAATAGAGTGAAGAAATGATTACTTAACTAAAACAGGTTTCATTCATTTATTTTGATGAAAATAACACATATAAATTAAAAATAATTTTTACGTTTAATTGAAATCCTAAAAATAAATTAATATACAAGATGCACTCACTAGAAGAAGGCGTTTTGAAAGTCCCTTTTGATGCAACGCTAGGAGCACCTTCCCCATTGATGGACTTGATATTGTAGGTGTAAGATTGCGCTGGTTTTAAGTTTGAGACTACAGTAGATTCATTGTCATTTGTAATGTTTTCTATCACCACTGTTTCACTTGCAACAATAAAAATATACATCTCGACCTGACCCTCAGACTTGTGAAACTCGATCAGGTAGCTGTACTGGTCAGTTGTGACGTTTTCTGATATTATCAACACTCTGGTAACAGGGCTCGGTTGAGCCGGATCTGATGGTAATCAATGACATTTTAAAAGTATACACTTTTATAAAAATAAGTCGCTTAAGCTACTCGCTCATCCTGAATTCATACCAAATTTTAATTTTACAAATAAAGTAGAGTTAATATGTTTCAATAAGCTCGACAAACATGGGGGTCCTAGGTGCTTTGACCACAGGTACTTTGACCATAGGGGGTTTGACCATAGGTGCTTTGACCACAGGTGCTTTGACCATAGGGGGTTTGACCACAGAGGGGCTTTGACCACAACAGGGCTTTGACCACAGAGGGCGGGGGCATAATTTATAGATTTTAAAATAGAAATAATAAACTGCTATTTTAATTTTAATTTATGATACAATTAATACCATCTTTTACATGTTTCCTGAAAGTCCATTAATAGAAATTAACATGTACTAAAATAGTCTAGAACGATATTTTAGTCTCCACATAAAGGCTGGTGCTAGACCTCATAGATTTATTTAAAATATAAACGGAACACAAATAATGCGACATATAACACGTTTAAAAAATAAATAATGTAGATGTACTTGAAAATACAAAGCATATATAAAGGACGAAAAAGGATAAAAAACATGCCAACAGAATAGTTAAAGAAGACGTAATACTTGTATGGTTAACTAAATGACAGATGAATTAACATACTATTACATCCTGCCGCAATTTAAAATATAATTACGCAACTTTTAAAATTAATCTTTACCATATAAGGACAAAGCGCTTGTTATCAATCGCAAGCATTGGACAAACCATCTGTGATCAAAGACTCTGTATAGACAATCACTTGTGATCAAAGATCCTACATGGACAAAACACCTGTGATAAAAGCCGCACACAGCGCTTGTGATAAAACACCCGTTGACAAACCATCTGTGATCAAAGACCCTCTGCTGAGAAAACACCTGTGGTCAAACCATTTATGGCAAAAGCCCTATGGTCAAAGCCCCGCTGTGGTCAAAACCCCGTTATGGTCAAAGCCCCCCTGTAGTCAAACCCCCTATGGTCAAAGCCCCTATGGTCAAACCCCCTATGGTCAAAGCCCCTATGGTCAAAGCCCCTATGGTCAAAGCTCCGCTGTGGTCAAACCCCCTATGGTCAAAGCCCCTATGGTCAAACCCCCTATGGTCAAAGCCCCTATGGTCAAAGCCCCTATGGTCAAAGCTCCGCTGTGGTCAAACCCCCTATGGTCAAACCCCCTATGGTCAAACCCCCTATGGTCTAAGCAACTGTGGTCAAACCACCTATTGTCAAACCCCCTATGGTCAAAGCCCCTATGGTCAAAGCCCCGCTGTGGTCAAACCCCCTATGGTCAAAGCACCGCTATGGTCAAAGCTCCGCTGTGGTCAAACCCCCTATGGTCAAAGCCCCTATGGTCAAAGCCCCGCTGTGGTCAAACCCCCTATGGTCAAAGCCCCTATGGTCAAAGCCCCGCTGTGGTCAAACCCCCTATGGTCAAAGCCCCTATGGTCAAAGCTCCGCTGTGGTCAAACCCCCTATGGTCAAAGCCCCTATGGTCGAAGCCCCGCTGTGGTCAAACCCCCTATGGTCAAAGCCCCTATGGTCGAAGCCCCGCTGTGGTCAAACCCCCTATGGTCAAAGCCCCTATGGTCAAAGCCCCTATGGTCAAAGCCCCAATGGTCAAAGCCCCCCTGTAGTCAAACCACCTATTGTCAAACCCCCTATGGTCTAAGCAACTGTGGTCAAAGGTCCGCGCACCAACATGGGGATATCCTTTTCGGAACTATGCGGACCATAGGGGTCAAAGCCCCTATGGTCAAAGCTCCGCTGTGGTCAAACCCCCTATGGTCAAAGCCCCTATGGTCGAAGCCCCGCTGTGGTCAAACCCCCTATGGTCAAAGCCCCTATGGTCAAAGCCCCTATGGTCAAAGCCCCAATGGTCAAAGCCCCCCTGTAGTCAAACCACCTATTGTCAAACCCCCTATGGTCTAAGCAACTGTGGTCAAAGGTCCGCGCACCAACATGGGGATATCCTTTTCGGAACTATGCCCAGACATCTTAGGTTGGGTGGACTGAACTCGAGACTTTTGGGTTGGCAGTCGTAAGCCCTACCTTTCGACCTCGCGGTCTCATTCGAGAACTCATATCGACTAAGACTTGTTATGATCACTAAGTTAATTCGTTTATAAAACTTTTTTTTAACTGCAGGAATTGATAGATCATAGAGCTGATGATATTAATCAAAATAAGCAATAAGCATAGAGTATTGTATTATTTTGCTTTTTTATTAATGTACTAAAGACAACTAAGATGGAAGCCTACTTGTCCACATCCCCTGAATTAACACCGT